TCTTTTGTCCAGAGAAGTAGTTCAATTTGCGAACCAACGGGTTAGCGGCCAACGGTACTTCCCTGATCATCTTCTCTGCCCTCAGCTCAGAAAAGCCGCTTTGGAATTTCATCCCTGTTAGTCACCCTCTCTAGCTGTCCAATACTCCTTCCCTCATCAAAACAGACTCACAGTTTATACTTATGCCACTAGCTGCCAACTGATACTACTCTTTGTTTTCGCTTCAGATGATCTTTTCACCAACAGTTTCTGTTCTCCTGTAACTGCGTCTCTGAAATATTTACTCCATAGGCTCACACCAACCCACACACAACATGATCAAGTGTTATCGGTCTCATTAGTGTCTGAAGTAAACTTCTTTGCACGAGGGAAGAAAAATCAACCATCAGCCGCAGCACAGCCCTCCACGTCCCACGGACCGTATCTTGAAACAATAGTGTTTACTGTCCATGTTCAAGTCAGCATGTGTGAGTGCTCGCCCCTCCCGGCCTCCAAAATGTATTTCTTACATTTAAATACCTCAGAGGGCAGCGTTTTAGAATACTGTCCTTGCCATTCTTTGTCTCGTCACCACATTATGCCTGCTTGGCTGATCAATAAATGATATTCAATTCCGAATGTGACCATATGCGCAGCGCTGTCCAAAGAGGCCTGACCGATGTCACCTGCCACGCTCAGTGGTGCCCAGACACGAGCGTCGGAGTCACCTGAGGGCTCGTGCAGGTGGAGGTTGCGGGCTCTACCCCGGGGACGCAGGTAGCGGGTCTGGGCAGGGTCCGATAATCTCTATTTCTAGCAAGTTCTCTGGTGACGTGGCTGCTGCTGGTCTAAGAACCACACTTGGAGAATTAAGGCCACGGAGGCTGAAAACATTTTACATGGTGTTCTCCCCTCGTTTGCGGAACGACCTTTGCTTGACTCTGCTCATTTCCAATGGCCATGACAGTGGGACCTTCCAAAGGTGAAACACTAGTAAGAAGGCAGCGAGCAGGCCAGTGTGCACACAATTCCACGCTGCTACCACCCCTGCTCTCTGTGCTACAAGCCCCGTGGGCGGAACACAAATGCATCACTCTCTGCTGCTCCTGCACGCTCCCGAGGCCAAGCTAAGGGTCACAGAAACACCCCAAACAAGCAAAAGGGGAAGCTGAGATGAAAAAATTACGTGCTGATGCAAATCAAAACCACAGCAACCGCTCCTCACCACACAGAACTCCCTTCTCCCGGCACGGACAGTCACACCCACCCCGGCCCTCCCTTATCCCTAGAAACCACCATCTGTTCCCCATCTTTATAACTTTCTCATTTCTACCATGTTAATAAATTGAAGCACACAGTAAAAATGCCCACGTTATACCCTGGCTATTATTATTAAAAACAAAACAAAACTGGAAAGCAAAAACTGTTGGTGTGAATGTGAGGGGACTGGAGCCCTTGTGCACTGCTAGTGGGAATGCAAATGTCAGAGCTGCTGTGGGAAACAGATGAATTAAAAACTAAACAATGAATTACCATCTGATCCAGCACCTCCACCCTGATCTACACCCAAAACCCTGCAGGCAGGGACTGAGCTGGCATTTGTACGCGTGTTCAGGGCAGCGTTACACAGCAGAGCCAGAAGGTGGGAGCGACCCATGCCCACGGCAGGGTGCATGGATACACAAAACGTGGTCTATACATCATGAAGGGATGCCATTCAGCCGCCAAAGGAAGAAACTCTGACACGTGCTACAGCAGGAATGAACCTTGAGGACATTACATGAAATCAGGCTACACACAAAAGGACAAGTACTCTATGATCCCCCCATGAGGTACTTAGGGTAGTCAAACTCCTAGCGACAGAATGCAAAAAGCTGCCAGGGGCTAGGGGAGGGAGAAACAGGGAGTTAGTATTTAATGGGTATCGAGCTTTAATTAGGGAAGATGAAGAAGTTCTAGAGATGAATGGTGGGGATAGCTGTAGAACAATGTGAATGCACTCAATGCCACTAAACCTACACTTAAAAATGGTCAAAATGGTAAATTTTGTTATATATATTTTGCCACAATAAAAAACATTTAAAAAAAAAACATCTTTTTATGTGTTAGTCTAAAACAGTGGTTCTCAACCTTCCTATGCCGCGACCCTTTAATACAGCTCCTCATGTTGTGGCTGGTTCGCGCGTTCACTGATGAACCGTGTCTAACAGATACCCACGGAACAGCCGCACATCACTGACACCGGAGGCCGCGGGTGTGGCAATGTTCTTGTTTGTTTTCCCAAAATAAGCACTTCTCCCCCCAAAAGCATGTATTTCCTTGGACTCAGAGTTGGGTATATTTTTATCTTTCAAAACTGAAATGTATTACATATTTTTAAATGCAAAATCCCGACAAGCAAGAAGTCTAGCTTGCTGACACTGGAACCATCAGGCGGCCTGTAGAAAGGGCCCATCTTGAAGATGCGCTCTAAGACAGCTGCTCAGCTTGCCCAGGCTGGGCGTCCTGTGTGGTCTACGAGGAAGGCTCCAGGCCCCAAGGCTGCAGGAAAGAAAAGGCCCACAGGCGAAGATGCCTCCGAGCCCTGAGAAATGCTGAGGACGAACCCTGCCCGCCCTGCGAGGTGCGAGGTGCGCGCTGGCCTCTGGCCAGGCCCTCAGCTGGCCTGGTGGAGACTGAGAGCAGGCTCTCCCCTGAGACATGCAAGTGAGCAGGGAAACGGACCGGGGAGAGGAAAGAGGATGCGGGACTCCAGCAAGAGGCAGAGGCAGCGGACGGAGGGACAGGAATAAGCAAAGGTTTGTCCACTTGTCCATCCGGGCAGTTCCACAAGCCCCAGGTGACAGGCTGTGAAGGAGAAAAGCAGCCGACTGGCCTGCTGCTGCTGTCAGGACAAAGCAGCACGTGCCTCACAGCCTGGCAGCAGCCCTTCAGCACAGACAGGCGCACGACAGCAACACCCATGGGGCAGGCAGCCTGCACCCAATCAGGCCACACAGCATCTCCAGACCAGCGGACCGTGGATGCAGAGCTGGGGCTGGCCCCACGAGGGGCTGTCTGCTCCCACAGCCCTAGAACTGGAGGCCCAGGCACACTATTCGCGGTGCAAGTTAAGACAGTGCACACAACCCAAAAGCCCCCCTCAGAACGTTAAAATCAAATGTAAACAACGTTTCCATTATGGAGCAGTCAGCCTAGTCTGTGTTAACGTGAGACAAACAAGACATCGCATGGGCCAGTTCTCAGATGGACCCGCACAAGGCAAGGGCCACCCAACCAAAAGGACTTCCTTCTGACGCCGCCCACACGCAGCGTCCACGGAGAGTAGCAGGCCCCCGAAGGCCAGCCACCTGCAGGCCGCTGTTCTCACTCCTCTTCCCGAGGACTCTCTTCCCCAAATCCTGACAGGAGCCACCACGAATGGGGCTGGTGTCCCCACACTGGGGGGCTGCTTCAGCCCGGCTCTAAGAAGTCTCTTCACACCCAGGTGTTCTAAGTCAAGATTACACTTTTTGACACTGAATTATTTACCCCTTCGGGGCTCTGGATCCATCGCTTTATATTGTAATTGCTTTTCCAGGGCTTCCTCTGAACTTCTGCTCAGAAGAGTTAAACGTGCTGCTGTGGGTCATTCTGCCTCAAACAGATCTAAGGGAGCTGAACACAGAGCTTACGTCACAGGAGAACCATGCAATGTGATGTCCTGCCAGGGGTGATGAACTCTGGCAGCTGGATAAGAAAAGCTCAGAGTTCAGATTTCAGATGCAGCTAGCGATCAGGCCGGCCTGCTTGCCCAAACACATCAGGGAGGCCGCTAACTCCACAAGCTGCCGACACCACCACTATGGGCTCTGCTGCCTCAGAAAGGAACACACCAAGGCTGCCTCGCGAGTCTCTGAAGGGGAAAAGCATTTCTGTGGCCTTAATTCCTCACGGATCAAGCACACGAGTGTTGACTATGCACTCACTGTGGCATCAACCTTTTCAGAGGACAATTACAGCACATAGCACACACTTACTAGTTGTACAGTTTGCACTGAAAAAACTAAACGGAAGCCTGCCAGAACCAATGCAATGTAATCACAATGAACTCTAACCATAGAACTCTTATTTTTGTTTTTTGGGGGAACAGTGGTATCTAACTATATGGAAGGTGTTTCTGCAAAGAGGCCTGCAAAACCAGCTGAGTATTTCCATAACACTCACACACGTGCACGCACACGCATGATCCTGGCCCAGTTCCTCCACAGAGGCTCAGACACATCCCCCAAACACAGACCCCAAATTTGCCGACTGCTGGCACTGCCCCTGCTGCAGGCCAGGTGGCTACAGACCCTGCATCACACACACGCACTCACTCATCTCGCTCTAGAATTGCCTTTTTCCTTCCGGCCCTGTTCACAAATGCTTCCAAAGCTGCTCAGAGATGAACTTGGTGGCAGTGTCTGTGGCAAAGGTGACCTCAGGATGATACGATGCACATGGTTTACAAAGAAAACCCAACCAGCAAAGGCTGCGTCAGAAACCAATGCCTGTCTGGCTGGGAGCAGCTGACATGTCTGGGACCCAGAGTGGAGACAGAGTTGACCACAGGGCCGACGAGGGTCGCTAACAATGGGAACCAGAGAGAACATGATGTTTAGGTCCTCAGAACAGAAGGGGAAACTTGGTAAAGAGGACAAACAGCCTTCATGAAGCAAAAACTTTCTGACCCTTGTATCTGTGAGTGTGTCTCCCGGGAATAAGTGGCGATCGTGGAGTGAGGCCCTACACTCACCGCGGACTTGGGTGCATGGAGCCGCACCTCACACAGGGACACTGACCAGTCCTACTCACCTGTCTTAGTAAGAGCCCCCGGGATGCTCTTGCTAATTCTGGTCTGTTCACACAATCTGCAAAGGAACGGTGCTCGGCTGCCACACTATGCGCTGTATACACATCGACACACATGCACACACACATTTACTGTTTCTCCTGGAACCTCCCGGCGCCGGGCAGACCTCACGCCCCAGGTCACTTACCGAGGACTCGCTGTCCCTGATGAGGAAGTCACCCTCGCGGCCCCGCTCGTTGAGGGCGCACTCGGCCTGGTGGCGGGTCACGTTCCCGTAGTACCACTCTCTGCCAGCGAAGCGCCCGCTGCCCGCGGGCCCCGGGTAGCTGATCTGCGGGACATGAGACGGGGGCAGGACAGGCCCGTCGCTGAGGACCACCACATAGTTTTTGGGGACAAGGCCGACCTGCCCCCGGGCGTTTTTGCACTTCCACCACTCGGGGTCGTTCTCCGGCTTCTCGATCACCTCCATGGTCTCTCCCTTCTCGAAGTTGAGCTCCTCCTCGGTGACCGAGCTGAAGGGGTATAGCGTCTGGACCACGTGCAGAACCCGCGCTCCCTGGCCATTGCTCACGGGCGCGCCCCGCCGCAGGCTCGGGAAACTGGGGGACTCCGCGGCCGCCTCGTCCACCTCCTCCAGGACATAGTTGGAGGGGAACCAGCCAATCTGCCCGTTGTAGCTGCCACGCCACCAGCCATCGCTGCACTTCTCCATGACGGTGACACGTGACCCCTTCACCAGGGACAGCTCGTCCTCCCTCTCGGCCACGTAGGCGAACTTGACGAAGGCCGGGATGTTGAGGTCGTAGATGCGGTCGGCGCCCCCATTGGCAGGGTACTCTGCGTCCGTGCTGGGCGTTGGGGACGCGTCCCTCGCGCTTGTCTTCCTCTTGGTCTTGCCCAGGCCTGTGGAGACACAACAGGGGCTCAGTGGGCACCGACGCCTGCAGCGGGCGCTGCTGGGCATCATGGGCACCCTGCTGCCACCTCCCTGCCCATAACACTCAGGGGGGAAATCCGCCCCACCGGTGTGCCTCAGTGGTGGAACACGGACCCATGACCGGGTCACTAGTTGGACTCCCGGCCAGGGCACCTGTTCGGGTTGCAGCTGATCCCCAGTAGGGGGCATGCAGGAGACAGCCAATCTATGATTCTCTCTCATCAATGTTTCTCTCTCTCCCTCTCCCTTCCCCGCCCCCCCCCAGAATCAATAAAATGTAAAGAAACAAACAAAAAAAAAAAAGGGAGGGGGGAATCCACCCTGGTTACAATGTCACTATCAGGAAAGTCACATGTTGATGGCTGCAATGAGCACTTGCCAAGACTACAAGCTGAGAACTGCTAAAACTGACCTCTTTCCTTTACTCTTAAAAAAATGCTAGAGTAACAGCAGCCCAAAAGACAACAAAATAGTAGAAAGTTAGTTTCCTTTTGAAACAACTAGAGAATTCCTGTGTCACTCAGAAAAAGAAGGCATAAAGGCACAGACATGACGCCCTCACAGCCTTGTGCTGAGCAGGAAGTTGGACGAATGAACTCAAAAGACGGGTTCTAGGGAGGGTCAGGTCTCAGCAAGCAGAGCTTGCACCAGCCGAGCTGCTCCGCCGCCTCCCCTCAGCCATGCGCCCTCTCCGCCACTCCTGGCACCCGTGCCCTCCCAGGGCTGCCCCTGGCAGAAACCCGTACCCTTCTCCTTTCTTCTCATCTGGCAATTCTTTTCTTTCAAATCAAGGCTCATTTCCCAGAACAGGTTGTGATGAAGGCAGAATTTTTCTTATTGTGACTAAAATCCCACGAGTGGATCATAAAATCCATTTAGTGGGTTGTGACCAGCCTGCATGTATGTATTGCTTTTTTCTTAGGGGAATAAAATATAAAACCTAACAGTGCATCAAATACAGAATTGTTGCTTCCGTTATACATGTGAGTGAGTGAGGGTTGTAGTGTGAAACTGATTTTTTCCAGAGCAGGAGGAACTATTTGAAAAGTCGTAAGGCGAAAACGCTTTACCGTCCGTCCCCCCCCCCGCCCGCCCCAATACTACCCCCTGAGAATGCGTAGGATTCTGAGCCTTCTGGAGCCGGGAGCCTGGGGAAGGGCAGCGCGGCCAGGGCTGAAGGCTGAGTGCCCCGGGGCCGGGGCCATGCTCCTCCGTCTTCCAGACAGAGGGCGGCACACCACCTCCACGGGAGTCACGTGCAGATTCTGAGGGTGTGGAAACTGCAGCCACTGCAGATTTTTATTTTGTTTTTATTTTTCCAAATGACACTAAAGCACTTCACTGGGTAGCTGTACCTCTCTCCCCTTTTACTCCTTAAACTGGAGGAAAGACAGAACGATCCCACGCACTGGCCGTGCTTCTGCTCCGGGCTGAGCAGCAGGACCAGGAGGAAGAGAACGCCGCAGTGACCACCCGCCATGCGGGCAGCTGGGCGCTGCCTTCCAGAGCGGCCCGCCCGGCCTAGGATTCTGCCGCCCGAGAAGTTTGGCGTCACAGCGGAGCAAGGAGACCGAAAGGCACGCGGCCGGCCGGTGAGGTGACGGCACACCGACGTGGAGTGGCTTTCAGGGGAACACATCAGTTCCTGGAGCTAACAGCGCCCACCGGTCCCCGTTGTGCCACGGCGAGCACACACGAGTGCGTGGGAAACGCAAGAGCAAGTAAGCCTGGGCATTACGCCAAGTTAAAAAGTGATTTCCACTGAGTGAACTCGCTCACATCAAAACGTGAGCGTCCAAATCTTACAACGGATCCTTTATGTGACTTCCACCTCGGAGGGTTCACCCAGGCCCGAGAGCGTGGTGCCCCAACTCCCCGACCCCAGGCAGCGGTCCACGGGGAACTTCCCTCAAAGGCTCGGCCCTACGAACCTCAGAAAGTGCTCCCCACCCTGAAGCCGAAACCACCCGGCAGAGTCCAGTTTCTGGTAACAAACATTTCAAGAAATCACATGTAAACGTAACTTTTTAATGGACCTCTGCAAACTTATAACAAAAGCCACGTGAAAAAAATACTATGGAAGATCCAGCGTTAGCATATCCACCAGGACATAAAGGCGTCACAATCAGAGCAGACACAGAGCTCAGCTAACGCGCTGCTGAAGACACGTGAGCGGTGTGTGATGAACATGCTACCTGGATGCTGGCCGCCCTTCGGTTCTGGGAGAGCGAGATAAATGAGGCGGGCCCCCTCTCTGCCCATGCGGAGTTTTATTTTCTCCACCAAGACTGGAACGTTCCACGTAGCAGCCAGACCATGGAAAGCAGCCCTGTTTTGCTCTAACGTGGTCTGAGGGTCCTGAGACCACGCTGGGTGGGCCTGGGGGCGGTTACAGCAGTGACCGAGCACACAGCCTGGGGAATCTGAGCTGTGTGCTCTGGGGCAAGGGACTGCGTCTGTGTCTTAGTTTCCTGACCCCTCAATGTGGGCAATGATGGCACTGGCCCAGCTGCTGCGGCTGCCACAACCAAACCAGACCGGGGCTGGGCAGCAGAAACTGACTTCCTCACACCTCTGAGGGCCAGGAGAAGACGAGGGCTGGTTCCCTCTGAGGCCTCCCTCCTGGGCTTGACATGGCTGCCTTCACATGGCCTTCCTTGCGTGTGTGCGTGTGCGTGTGCGTGTGTGTGTGTGTGCGCGCGCATGTGTGTGGTCTCTGATTTCCTCTTCTTCCCAGGTGTGTGTGTGTGTTTTCTGATTTCCTCTTCTTACCAGGTGCGTGCATGTGCGTGCGTGCGTGTGGTTTCTGATTTCCTCTTCTTCCCAGGTGTGTATGTGCGTGTGTGTGTGTACTTTCTGATTTCCTCTTCTCACCAGGGCACCAGTCGCATTGGATCAGGGCCTACCACAAAAACCTCATTTTAACTTAATTATCTCTTCAGAGCCCTGCCCCAAACAGTCATAGCCGACTTCCTGGGGATAAGGATGCTGACGTGCGGATTTTCGGGGATGTAACAGCCGACATCAGGTACCTGGATTTGGATTATATGCACCAAGCACGGAAGCGCTCTAGGAACGATAAAAAGCGTGCCTCTTATTAACTGAGCTGGGCTTTGCCTTTTTCTCAGAGCTGTATATTCCCAGAAGAGGACTGCAGTCCTTTCTGAGTGCCCGTGGCCGTGGCCCACCTGTGCCGAGAGCCACCAAAATAGAACGTGTGCCTGCCAGGGGTTTGGGACCTGGGAACCCTCGTTCCACGGGGCAGTGTCATGTGTAGCTGCTGCTGCAGTGACATTCAAGAGACGGGTGTCGGCACAGGGAGGAAGCCGACCTACTGACACCCACACGACCCAAACCCTCACAACACTCCTGTGCAAAGTGGGCCTCCCCCCATTTCTGCAGATGGAGAAAGGTGCGAAAGGGGGTCTGGGAACTGGTCCAACACACACAGCAGTGGGGGCCCAGACCGGCTCCCAATACAAAGGGCCAAGCACACAGCAGTGGGGACTCAGACCGGCTCCCAATAGAAAGGGCCAAGCACACAGCAGTGGGGCCAGACCGGCTCCCAATACAAAGGGCCAAGCACACAGCAGTGGGGCCCAGACCGGCTCCCAATAGAAAGGGCCAAGCACACAGCAGTGGGGCCCAGACCGGCTCCCAATACAAAGGGCCAAGCACACAGCAGTGGGGCCCAGACCGGCTCCCAATACAAAGGGCCAAGCACACAGCAGTGGGGCCCAGACCGGCTCCCAATACAAAGGGCCAAGCACACAGCAGTGGGCCCAGACCGGCTCCCAATACAAAGGGCCAAGCACACAGCAGTGGGGCCCAGACCGGCTCCCAATAGAAAGGGCCAAGCACACAGCAGTGGGGCCCAGACCGGCTCCCAATACAAAGGGCCAAGCACACAGCAGTGGGGCCCAGACCGGCTCCCAATACAAAGGGCCAAGCACACAGCAGTGGGGCCCAGACCGGCTCCCAATACAAAGGGCCAAGCACACAGCAGTGGGGCCAGACCGGCTCCCAATAGAAAGGGCCAAGCACACAGCAGTGGGGCCAGACCGGCTCCCAATACAAAGGGCCAAGCACACAGCAGTGGGGCCAGACCGGCTCCCAATACAAAGGGCCAAGCACACAGCAGTGGGGCCCAGACCGGCTCCCAATACAAAGGGCCAAGCACACAGCAGTGGGGCCCAGACCGGCTCCCAATACAAAGGGCCAAGCACACAGCTCGGTCAGAGGCTGATGTGCAGCAGGCTCTGTGGGCAATGAACGCGGGATGGACTCTCAACTGAGGCGCCGAGAGTCCACTCTGCCAACGCCCCTGGCCCTCCCAAATAGCAAGCACCCTTCCTCTGATTCTAGGCCGTGAAAATGGCCCGGTGCCTCCAGGTGGAAGTGGGGCTGAGGTTGAGGGAATCACGAGGAACCATGAAGCCATGTGACCATCGCCATGTCTCAATGTGGAACAGGCCACACGCGTGTGAGCAGGAGCAGCAGTGCTGCTGTGTGTCCGAGGAGGAGAGGACACACGTGTGCCCATCAGCCTGAGCCCCAGATGACCCCACCATGTCTGGGCTCCAAGCAGCATCTCTGATTTGAAGGAAAACCTGTTCCCTTTCAGGGCAGCCTGCTGTCCCCAGCCCCATGTGTGTATTTCCACTACACATCTTCTCCGTTTCTTTTCCTTTAACGGAAGTCACACCTCTTCTCATTTTAAGAAAAATGACTGGAATTCCAATGTGTCTTTTACAAGGACCAGGTGAATTTTTTTCTCTTAAACTTTTATGTATTTTCCCAAAAGGAGAGGCAAATCCTCACACAAACTTTGCAGAGTCTCAGGCCCCTTTATCACTGTAAGTGAACAGGAGTAACCAAACGCGGCTGCCCAGAAGCCCTCAACGAGCAGCTTGTGCTCACGCCCTCTGCACAGACTTCGGAAGGACATACTTTCCAGCGCTTCCCC